TGTTACATCGATTTACGACTCTCTGTGCATAAATACATTTACTAGACTTTGGTAGCATTTTTGGATTCATTTGAATATAAGCGAATCTTATTCTACGCTCGATTTAAGCTTCAGTTTTATTATTAAGAGAACTTTATTTAATCGACTTAGTAGAAGTTTTTAAGAATTTATTAATTACAACTTGAAGATGCAGGTAAGTTTATATCGATTTTTTGCAGAATTTTTGGTTTTGGAGCTCGGAAGATCCATTGTATGATGAATTCATAAATAGAACACTATAGATATCATAATTACACAATTTTCTCGACAAATTTCGCATTTATAAATTATTGTTTAATTTATGATCCATTGATTACTACGATAAGTTTGTGCAGTAGATAAATTTGTACATAAACGTTGAAGCCGTGACGTTCCAAGTGATGGAAATGATCGTCTTAAAAGTGCATCAAGAAGTGATTCAACAATTTGTTTTCGCGTTCAAGGAACATGAAAAAGAAACCACAGCTTACAAAACGCAAATACAAAACAATTTATTAAAAATAACAGTAGAAAGAGGAGTATTTACACAACGTATAATATATACAATAACTGCAACGAATAAAACAATCAGGTAGATGCGTCGTAGTTGTGAAACGCACGCGAGTAGACATTGAAAAGTAACTAAAACGTCGTGCAGAATTTGCACGATTAACCGATCCTCGAGCAATCGAGCAAAACTTTCTGTATCGATAATACTCGAACGAGCTATTCTTCCTTGTTTCTAAATTCCTTGGCAAATTGAGCTATTATGAATCCAACGATTCTTCTTTAGACACGGTGCATCAGACGGATTCGCTTAACATTCGCTAAATCGACGCTGCAAACGCGTTATGACGCGATACTAATTCCCGATCGATCGGATTTCTAAACTTTCCATTTTCTCTTTCTGCTGCGTTCGCCTAAAAACGAAAGTGGAAATGACAAATGGTCGCCACGAATTATTCTCGGGTGGGAATCGGGAGAAATCGAAGAAACGATCGTTCAGAATCGACACAGCCGTGTGTATTCTGGCAGTGCTGTCACACTCGCGGATGGATCATGATCGTGACACTTAACGATCGCGTGATGAGGGAACGCGGAATACGCCCGATCGCCACGATCTCGAAAGTCGGTCAAAGATTGGAAACGCGATATTCGTTCGTTTTTATTTTTTCTTGTGGTAGCCCGAGAAACCACCGCCGCCATGGCCGCCGCTCGAGTACGAGTCATAACCACCTCCGGAACTGTATCCACCACCTCCACCTCCACCGTGGCCACTGAAATAAGAATTTAATTATTGTTATTAACGACTCTATATCTCTATTAGAGGAACATTGTATTCGTTTGTGATAAATTGTCTTTGATGGACGGATATTATTACACGGAAAGGATACATTGTGCTTGTAAATTAACGCGTGAGATCATACTTATACACATTTTCGACTTGAAAATGAAAGTCATTTATGAATTAATCATCACGATATGTTTTCGTATGTAGTACCTTTGTTGCATTTGTCGAAGGAAATACATTGCTCGCATTGTTATACATGAATGGTTCTGTCGTGCAATTTACTTCGAGATATGCTAAAAAACATGTGTCGTTTTCTAACGAATAAATGATATTAACGCCCTTAAGAAAAATTCGAATAATAGTGTTATTTTATTACCTGCTTCCGAAGCCAGAAGATGCGTGGAATCCACCTCCACCTCCACCGCCACCACCATAGCCACCACCATAGCCACCACCGTGACCGCCACCTCCAAAACCTCCTCCTCCATGGTGATCATTAAATCCTCCTCCATTTCCATATCCACCGCCTCCTCCACCATGGTGTGAATCGAACCCACCGCCACCACCTCCGTATCCACCTCCTCCGCCACCGTGATGATCATCGAATCCACCACCGCCGCCTCCAAAACCTCCTCCGCCATGGTGTAAATCGAATCCACCGCCACCACCTCCTCCTCCGCCAAATCCTCCGCCACCGTGATGATCGTCGAATCCACCACCGCCGCCTCCAAAACCTCCTCCGCCATGGTGTGCATCAAATCCACCGCCACCACCTCCGTATCCGCCTCCTCCTCCTCCTCCGCCAAATCCTCCGCCACCGTGATGATCGTCGAATC